TAGCAGGATTTCAAAGTAACGCGCACTTGAAATTTCCATGAGACTCAATTTTCCAATCCTTTCAGCTTATTAATACAAATAGTTTCATATTACGATTAGGGTTATATTTCACGTTTGCTCAAGGTCGGATAATTAACCCACGTACTTTTTTAATTTAATTGTACTTTACCTAATTATTTATTGTTTCTTTCGTAATCTGGGCCCGTAACTGTTGACTAGGCAATGGAAAACAATAAATAAAATATACGGGTTTAGCTGAATGAACATATTTGATTATACATGATTGTGCGTATCTGTTTACAAAACATTTGAAGTACGTGTATTTGAAGAGAAACAAATAGCTACCAACTATGAAATACTAATATTGCTCGCAACATTCAATAATGAAATCACATATAAAATTTCATGAACTTTAAATTCTATAACAATATTACAATGCAATTTTTTGTAAATTATTTATTTAAAATCTATAGATTTTTATTTATTCTTGTCTTCAACAATAAATTTTTTACATATAAACTCTACCTAGGATGTATATTTTCCGCATACATACTTGTTAGATTTATTCAATGCAAATATAGTTAGACATTGAAAGCTAATTTGTTCGTCTTAATGGTCACTGCCCAATTCTTTAACTAATTAAAAAAGAAAATTCTTTCGAATTTTGTTTACTCCAATGGTCTCTTTGTATAATAATCCAGGCATTGATGACTGCCAAATCTAGAAACAATTATAAAACATGAAGGGGACCATTTACGGGATCACTGCTTTCACAATATTTTCTTTATTATCAGCATCTTTTATTTCACTTTCGCTTTCAATATTCGAAATAATATTTCGAATATTTTAATATTCGAAATACGCATACTTTTTCTTTTACGGTATGTATTATGATAATTTTAAATAATTTATTCCCATTATCGTGAGAATATTCAATTTCGTTTATATTGTCAAATTGTTCCTCGCTTTTGCATAATTCGTTTATATCAGAATCCGATCCAAATTAGTCTTCATTTATACTGGTTATTCTTTTTATTTTTCTTATTATTCTTTTTTATCAATTCCATCTTTTGAAGATTTGTCCATAATAATATAAATATAAAATAATATATTTTTTTGGATAAATTTTGAAAATATCTTGAAAAATTCAAATCTTCACTTATGAAAATAAAGTTTTGCTAAGCTTCTAAATAGCACTTATTTTTTTTTTTTACAAAACGTACTGAAATTATCTCTCACATTGTTTTATAAAATAATAAGACAGATTCACTTACAAAAATCATTTTTTTTTTCTTCAAAATTTACCGTTAAAGGGATTATTTGTTATTATATCACAATTATAAATAACTTGTTTGATTATATATTTATTGCTAAACAGTCGTCATTTGCTTGATGTTATTTTTTCTTATTCATTGTTATTTCATTTTTGTTATTTTGCAATAATTGATCTATATTAACCCGTCAAATTGATGGATTTTCGTAAAAATAGGTATACAATATCTAGAAATAATAAAATATAAATGTTTCAGAGAAAACGAATAGAAATATATATTTGAAATATATAATATATATATTTGAAATATATAAAAACTAATATATAATGTTTAAAGAATAATATTTGCATATTCAGAATTTTTAAGCATAAAATTGAAAACTCGTCAAATTGACGAGTTTCGTAAATCTAGTGTTAAAAGTAAATATTTTTATTTATTTTGTTTAAATAAATAATCTGTTTTCATTTTCATTATCTATATTAAAATATTTTATATTATTTTATAATTTTATAATTAAATCATCAATTCTAATTATATCATAGTACGTCGCCGTGGGCCGAAATAGCTCAGTTGGGAGAGCGTTAGACTGAAGATCTAAAGGTCCCCGGTTCAATCCCGGGTTTCGGCAAAATATTCTTTTTTAATTTATTATTATTATTGAATATTTCATATTTAATTTCACAAGCAAATACTCGAAAATCAAATTTATAAGATAATATTTTATAAAAATTGAAATAATTTATTTAGGAAAATATAATATTGCTAATATATTTAAGTATTTTTTTATATTTACTTTCAAGTTTTTACTTCTAAAGAAATTTTTCAATCTTATGTATAAACTTTGATAAGTTAGATATAATAAATGTCTTTCCAAAGCCGAAATAGCTCAGTTGGGAGAGCGTTAGACTGAAGATCTAAATGTCCCCGGTTCAATCCCGGGTTTCGGCAAAGGTGAATTTTTTTTAGAATATTTTGTTTTTTTTAATATAAACATTTATTATAAAAATATTTTATGAATTTTCCGACTTAATAGTTGCATACATATAATTTTTTTTCATTAAATTTTAATTTAAGTGAAATTTTTTTTAAAATTAATTCTTTAATCTTCAATGCGATTCATTTTTTATTAAGCCAACTTGTCAAAATTTGTTAATATTACAATGATAATAAAAATCAATATGATATAATTGATTAAAAATTTCAAATTCTTTTATTAAAAATAAAAAATTTTTATAGGAAAATTTTTATAGAAGATATTAACTTTCTTCGTATGTTGATACGAATTGATATAAATTACATTTCTCCGTGTATATACTGTTATAGTTTATGTTTTATTTAGTTTTAAATTATTTACTTCATTGAATAATTTAAAATTATATACAAAATTGAAAATCTGATTTTAAGATAATCACTAAAACTAAATATCATATGCAATATCCAAATTATTATGTAGAATATATATATATATAGTATAAAAAATTTTATTATTTATAATACTGATATTATTTCTTATTATTTTATATTACAATATATAACAATTCATAATTTTATTTATATTTTTATTTATTATATTTATGTTTATTATAAATATGAATGCTAATAATTAATTAAGAATGTAGATATGAATTATTTTTTATTCATTCAAATAATATGAGAGATATGAATTATTTTTATTTTATTTATTTCTACGAAATATCAAATTTTTATTAAATCATTCAAATAATGTTAAAAACTTTAAAACCTTAATAAATTAATAATCTTCCAATCAATTTTTATTCCACAATTCAAAAAGTATTTAGAATTCAATCAATATTTCTATATTTTATTTATTGCATTTATCCGCTGATAAATTTTCTTATTTTCTCGAAAGTTTTTTTGATTAATCAAATAATAATCACCAGAGAGTTAGGAAAAAATTCGATATTTTTATTTTGAAAAGAATATATTATCAGTGATATTTAAATCGTTAAAAATAATTCTCATCGGTCTATCCAATCGAGATGCACGGTTGCCGTGCCGGTCATGACATCACGGGTGTAAAAAGTAAATTCTTCGTCTAAATGTTACAGGTGTGAGTCGTTACGGGCTGTATTCGTTATTCCCTGGGGGTGGCGGGGGCAGTTAC